TACTACTACTACTACTACTACTACTACTACTACTACTACTACTACTACTACAAGCTGGAACTACTAGGATCTGAAATTGGGCAATAACTGGAGGACAAAAAGTTTAGTGCTCCAAACTACTTACAACGAAATCTCAAGACTCTTACCTCTGCATTTGTGAGAGCCATCTGCGTAGTAGCCAGGGGGACATTCTGACATGCAGTTGCCCTCAAGCAGAACACGGTCTGAAGCACAGGACAAACATCTCAGCCGGTCCGGATAGCATATTTCACAACCTTCATGGCAAGCTGTTAAAGAGGAGACTCCAATTAGGTTACCAATAAGTAAAAGTCAAGTACAAAAGGACTTTGGATAAAGTCTACATTTTCCATTACAGATAGTCCTCGAATTACAACCATTTGTTTAGTGGCCATCGGAAGTTACAACGGCATGGAAAAAAGTGACTTAGGACCGTTTTTCACAGTTAAGACTGTTCCAGCATCCCTTGGCAACTGGCTCACATTTATGACGGTTGCTGTGTCCTGGGGTCATGTGATCACCTACTGCAACTTCCCGATTAGCAAAATCAGTGGGGAAGCCAGATTCACTTAACAACCATGTAACTGACTTAGCCACTGCCGTGATTCACTTAACAACCGTACCAAGAAAACTCAATAACTGTCTTGCTTAGTAACGGAAATTTGGGGTGTCAATTGTGGTCATAAGTTTGAGGACTACCTGTACTGGGCGCTGCTAGAATGCCCGGGGTGAAAAAAAATCATTTATCCTTTCATTGATGCTGTATGAGGGTGACTCCCCAATGGTTCTGCCTCTATTAAAATTCCCCAAGAGGGCTTGAAAAGGAGTGGTGTTCAACACCAAATATTTATGCTAGCAGGTGTGGCCCTCTTCTGCTAATAAATCCACCCTTAACTCCAGATATTATTATGTTTGCTGTCTGGTTAAACAAAGTTTTCCCTCAGAAGAGTGACTATGAAGTTAAAGGAATGCCTCACCTGAGGCAACGGAGAAGTGGGCGAGTCTGCTGTGAAGAGATCGGAGGCACCATGAAAAACTCTTCAAAAAAGGGTGGTTTCGTGTATTTTGTGTGTTTGCTGCTTTCCCTCTTCCACAGACACTCACATACACACATACAGGCAGTCCTCGACTTACAACCGTTCATTTAGTGATCGTTCAAAGTTACAACGGCACTGAAAAAAGCAACTTAGGACCATTTTTCACGACCTTTGCAGCATCACTGTGGTCCTGTGATCAAAATTCAGATGCTTGGTAACTGACACATATTTTATGACCGTTGCTATGTGTCCCGGAGTCACGGGATCCCTTTTTGTGACCATCTGACAAGCAAAGTCAGCGGTGAAGCCAGGTTCACTTCACAACCGGGCTGCTAACTTATCAACTGCCGCGATTCACTTAACCACTGAGGCACAAAAGGTCGTAAAATGGAGCACAAAACTCACTTAGCAAATGTCTCACTTAGCAACAGAAATTTGGGGCTCCGTTGTGGTCGTAAGTCGAGGACTACTTGTACTCTCAACAGCAATGGAGGGAGGGGGAAAGCTTACACACACACACACACACACACACACACACACACACACACACACACAGAGACAGCCAAGATTATCACCCTCCCGCCCTGATATGGGGTAAACAGCTGCATGGATCTCAACAGCTGTCTTTGCTTATAGGTGAAATAAAGACTTTGCACACAATGGGGGTGGCTCTTACCTCTGCAAACTCCATCCATAACGTAGAACCGCTGTCCACAATTAGCCACGCACGTGCCTTCCAGTAACACAAGAGACGGGTCTCGGCAGGTGGAACAGTTGTTTGCCGTGGGACCCCGGCACGTAGCACAGGATCCGTGGCAAGCTGGAGGCAAAGGAAAACATTTCCCAGTCAATTAGAGTGTCTGCTTTACTGTACTCAGCAGGCTTCAATTATTCTTAAAGCTCAAAGAAGACCACCTAGGTGGATTAAGGGGGAGAGGAGAAGAAAACAAGGAGGAGAGAGATTCAGATCTGGAAAAGGGGTCTTAAGTGAATTGGAACATTACAAAGAACATTTCCAGACCAGCTCTAGAAAGAAATCCATGCAGCCATTCTCCTGATGGCCAATTGATATTCGTAAGCCCTGGTAGATAGCCATTCCTCCAAGATTATTTGTGCCCGCATCACTTCCTGTCTTGATTATTGCGCTCTCCATGGGGCTGCCCTTGAAAAGTATTGGGAAGCTTCTATTGGTTCAAAAGGCAGCGACCCACATGGTTCTATACAAGCTTGGATTTGCGGATATATCACCTCTCTTATAGATACTATATTGGCTGCCGATTTGCTTCTGAGTCCAATTCAAGGTCCTGGGGGGGGGGCCTTTAAAGCCCTACATCAAGGGTCCCCAACCTGTGGGCCGCGGCCTGGTAGTAGGCTGTGGGCTGCGGGCTACCAGGCCACGGGACAGGCTGGCCAGTGCGCGCGCACACCCCCACTTCGCCGCGGAGCTCAATAATAGGACGCCACACCGCGCAGTGCAAAAACAGGCCAGAGTGCAAAAACAGGGGTGCAAAAACGGGATGCCACTGCGCCTTGGTGCATGAAAACAGGATGCCGCATCACTGCGCTGCACGAAATTGGGCCAATGCCGCACCTCAGGGCGCAAAAATTGGATGCCACCGTGCCTCGGGGCACAGAAACAGGGCACTGTGCACAAGAACGGGGCAGGGCTAGCAAGTATCACGCAAGCGCTAGCCCCGCCCCATTTGCATCACGCGCATGCTCACCCACCTCATGCGCGCGTGCATAAAATACTTCCCCCTCTCTTTCCCTCCAGTCCGCCAACCAAGAAAGGTTGGTGACCTCTGCCCTACATGGCCTGGAGCCAAGTTATTTGAAGGCCCACTCTTTTCCCAGTTACATTTACCTGACCCACCAGAGTGGGGAGGCAGGGGATGTTAAGGTCCCCTCCCTTAAGCAGCTCCATCTAGTGCAGGGGTGTCAAACTCGCAACGTCACGTGATGTGTTGCGATGTATCGTGACTTTTTTTCCATTGCCGGCTACGGGGTGGGCGCGGTTGCGGCATGACGCATCCGGCCTGCGGGCCAGCAGTTTGACACCCCTGATCTAGTGGGACCAAAAAGAAAGGCCTCCTCTGTGATGGCTGCTTCTCTGTGGAACATCATCCTTGCAGAAGTAAGATTGGCCCTCACTTTGACACGCTTTCAAAATGCCCTCCAAGACATGGTTTTGGGAATGAAATATATGTATCCCAGGATAATGTTGCAGGATCCAATCAGAATCGGTCACCGGGACTAAAGGTTTTGTCTTCCGAGGTTTTGGACTCGTACTGGAGCCCATCCTGAGAGAGCTTCTCTCTGGCAGAGAGGAAGGAAGGAAGGAAGGAAGGAAGGAAGGAAGGAAGGAAGGAAGGAAGGAAGGAAGGAAAGAAGGAAGGAAGGAAGGAAGGAAGGAAGGAAGGAAGGAAGGAAGGAAGGAAGGAAGGAAGATGGGTGGATGGAAGAGAGGAAAGGGAAGGGGAGGGAGGGAGGGAGGAAGGAAGGAAGGAAGGAAGGAAGATGGGTGGATGGAAGAGAGGGAAGGGAAAGGAAGAGAAGGGAAGGGAGGGAGGGAGGAAGGAAGATGGGTGGATGGGAGAGAGGAAGAGAGAGAAGGAAAGGGAGGAGAGGAGATGGGAAGGAAGGAAGGAAGGAAGGAAGGAAGGAAGGAAGGAAGGAAGGAAGGAAGGAAGGAAGGAAGGAAGGAAGGAAGGAAGGAAGGAAGGAAGGAAGGAAAATGGTGGATAGATGGATGGGAGAAAGGAAGAGAGGGGAGGGAGGGGAGGGGAAGGAAGGATGGATTTTTAAATTTTCTGTTCCTAGGCATTGTGCATTTTAAACCAATGCCCTCTTGATTAACATGCTAAATACTCCTGGTTTTTAAAAATAGGTTTGAGGGCCACAAAAGGCCAGCTGGCCAAAATCAATCCTTCAGCACTCTGGCCCAGGAGGAATGAAGAGTGGCTCTGAATATACCAAAGGGCCAACGGATAGTTTTTGTGTTTCCTGGAAAGGTTAATGCAGTATCTCCTGCTGAATGTCATTCCATGAAATAAAGGGAGATCACAGACTGCAGGCCATATTTAGAAAGCCGTGGGGGAGAACAAGGAAATTTTTATTTATGGCACTTGTAATGATTGTGGCATGTTAAGTCCTGTGCTGCCAGAATTTACATCAGAGCTTTTTTTAGCTATTGTTTTTTTTTTTAATTAATTATACCCGTGCTCATCCAAATGTTCTAAACTTTATTTTTAATTCCCCAGCCAGGCACGTATCTGCTTACGAGAGAGGCAAAATATCATCCTGACTTGGGTGTGAAGCTGAGGGATATACCCACCCATGTAAATTCATAGATGGGAGGAAAACCCTAAATTCCTAATTTACAACCAGGATCAGTCCTTTAGTAGTTTACCTTCGGGCTCTAGAACAATAAATTGTGAAAGTGGGGTCAAAGTGGAACATCACTCCATTGCAATCATGCTAAACTTATCATTTTATAGTCTTGGGGAGGGGGGGCGCTCAAATCTGGCTGTTTTATTAAAGCTAAGCAGATTTCAGTCTAGGCAATGTCTGAACCAAAGGCCTCCAAGGGTGATTTTTACACAAGTTGCCCAAGAGATAATAAGATCAGCCACAGAAGACACAGCAAATGTCTCCGATGAAATACTACAACACTTTAAAAGCAGAATTATTAGCAGAAATGGCGATTAGCCAGGGTTGCAACCAGGAAAGCTATTAAGCTTCTGTACCATCTAGGTTTGGCTATATTTCTAAGTGTGTTTATTTATTTGCTTCACAGAAAGAAATACAAAACAGGGAGAGAGAGAAAAAAGCAAAATATATGAAAAGAAAACCAAGAAAACCCAATAACCGAATTTAACAAAAACCAATAGAGAAATAAAACCAGAAAGAAGGCAGAAACTATTGGATTTATGGCAGGAGTCTTCAAACTTGGCCCTTTTATGACTTGTGGGCTTCAACTCCCAGAATTCCTCAACGAGGCATGCTGGCTGGGGAATTCTGGGAGTTGAAGTCCACAAGTCATAAAAGGGCCAAGTTTGAAGACCCCTATCTATGGCCTAAAACACATATCCATCAAATGTCAAACAAAGTTTCTAAACCTGCATTAACGAGCATAAATGATGCTTTTATCCTTCTCTAATATTAGGATTCAAATCAGTCTTTGATATAAAAGACACCTTTAAAATCAAATCCCTTCCCTACACTAATTAAAGCATCAAACCTTAGTCGCCTCAGTCTGGTCCAGATTAAAAAAAAACTGCAGGTAGTCTCAACTTACAACCAGCCACTTAGCAATGGGTTCACTTAACAAACGCAGCATTTACAACCGTCACAACATACGACGGTAATAGGCAAGCTCCACTACAGTTGAATGTTGAGGATTACCTGCCCGGCAGTGTTTTAAAGGCAGGTGCCTGGGAACCAGATCAAAGGCAGTTTCTGGCCTTGTCGCCGTCACAAAGTGAGGCAGGGGATGGACCACAAAGGGGAGTGGCACAGGATAAAGAGGGGGGGATGTACTGTAGAAGATGTGCTTTGTGAGATATGCTTGGTGGGAAAGAGTTCTTGCAAGTTGCAGGACCTAAATTGTGGAGCACCTGTATTCTGTAAAGAACAAAAGGGCGATGAAGATTTATGTGCCTGCTCAAATGCCAACCTTGATTGATTGACCGAATTGCAGAGTGTACAGTGTGCTCAATCTACAAGATTCTGGACGGTGTATTTAAACAACCAAACACAATAGCTGGCAACAGTGGAGAATATCTGCAGCTCGGGGTTGCTAGGTGAAACATTTGTTAAATGAGTTTTATGACCCATTTTATGACCCTTCTTGCCACAGCTGTTAAGTGAATCACTGCAGCTGTTCAGTCAGCCACACGGTCGCTAAATGAATCTGGCTTCCGCCACTGACTTTGCTTGTCGCAAAAGGGGATCTTGGGACACAGCGATGGTCATAGATATGAATCAGTGGCGAAGCATCTGAATTTTGATCACATGATCCCGGGGATGCCGCAAAAGTCGCGAATGTGAAAAACGATCGTCACATTTTTCAACGCCGTTGTAACTTTGAATGGTCACTGAACGAACTGTTGTAAGTTGGGGACTACCTGAATATGCAACTCGTGGTTTGAGAAAGGGTCTGCAGCCTTGATTAGGAGACTCGCACCCCTAGCCTGTTGCAGCCCTGTCAGAGATGTGAGTCTCACTCTGTTGCTCACCTCTAAGATGTGAAGTTTTCTCTGTCTCTGAACCCCAATTCTAAAGGCACCCATGGACTTCATGAATAATAATTGAGCGGTTAATGTTCCCTACAAATCTCCGGTTTCGCCTTTTTTTAATTAATTCACAGTTCTCTGAAAGAAATATCTGTCAGGGAAGAAAGAACCATAGCAAATTGGTTTGCACAATCATCTTCATTTTAGAAGAAAGCCTGTGGGAAACACAGGGAGAGGTGGAGGGAAGGAGAGAAAAACAGGTTATGAAACGCCACAAAGTGGCTTCGGGTCATGGAAAAAGAATCTCCTTTACAAGAGGAAACCTAATTGTAACTCAGGCTTTTCCTTATCCACTTCTCTTTGTCAATCGACTGGTTCAATCCAGGCCTCAGTGGTCTGTCTGTCTGTCTTGTCTGCCTGTCTACCTACCTACCCATCATTTATCTATCTATCCATCTATCCATCCATCCATCATCTATCTATTTACTTATCTATCTATCCATCTATCATCTAGCTATCTATCCATCCATCATCTATCTACCTACCTACCTGCCTACCTACCTACCTATCCATCATCTATCATGTA